CCGGGACAGATAGCCAAACAAGCTTTATTATCAATCATCAGCTGAGGGTGAACTCTTGAATATTTATAAAAACTGAAATGTATTGAATTATGCTTGAGATCATTGGATTTATTTTTTATTTTTTTGTAAGTGTAATTTATTTTTTTGTAAATGTGTGTTTTTCTCAAAGGCAAATAAATGTTTAACCATATACTTCATTTTTAATGATGACAATACTAAATTTTGTCATTTTTGTCATGTCTGACTGAAAATAAAACATCCCGTCGACAGCCTATATATGTGATGTACGTTGTCTTAATATTGGTGAAGCACTCATTCTCCTCACGCTTTGCTCAAATGAGCACACTGGTGCATAAAATGAGATCGCTCTTCAACTGATCTGAAAATTCAGGCACAAGTAACTCATGCGCACGTGAATGTTGTCAAAACCCTTGTGCGATACTGTTCCTGTTATCTATCTATCTATCTATCTATCTATCTATCTATCTATCTATCTATCTATCTATCTATCTATCTATCTATCTATCTATCTATCTATCTATCTATCTATATCTATCTCTCTGTCTGTCTGTCTGTCTGTCTGTCCGTCCGTCCGTCTGTCCGTCCGCATTGCTTCTCACTTAATGCCACTTGCTCCCATTGAAAATGACCCCCCCCCCTTTTTTTTTTAAAAAACTCTCCAAATTACTAAATATGTTGGAGCTGTTTTACAGTTTTTCTCAGTCGCTTTGGTGCGTTTCTCACACTACCAGTGCATTTCTGCACAACAGTTAATGCATCTCTCAAAACAATTAGTACAAACTGCAAAACCTTGCTGTTAACCTGCAAAAGCGTGTCACTTGCTCAAAATTCATGTCAATCTAAGTGTCAGTATCATCAAAATGAAAAGTCCTGACACCATTGTTTATGAACAAGATTGTCAAATGGCTTTGTCATGTTTTCATTAAGACAGTTTACTCTGGACATTTTTTCAATGCAAAAAAATCTGATGTTGGAGACAATTCCTGAAAATGCTAAAAACAGAATACTATTTGCACAGCCAATTGAAAACTGCAGTAAAGTTGGACATCACTGCATGTAGTGAGGTATCTGAGTACAAGACACTGAATATGTATGTTTCACATGTTTACTGCATTTGCTTGTTGCAATTCTAATTTATTCACAGCATTGTGCAAAAGAATAAACACACCCTTATTAACAACAAGCATAAGCTTTCTTTGGGTAAAGATAGGCACAACTGTAAACAATATTGCAGAACATATTGGAACTGAACCTACAACACAGGTCTGTAAATCAGAAGACATTTTCAGAAAAATAAAGATTTATATATATATATATATATATATATATATATATTTGCTAGACAGATTTTGACAAGTAGTTCAACATTTGTGTAATTACTAGTTTAGTTGTGCATTTACTAGTTTAGTTAATTTTGACTGACATGACATAAGCAAATGATAATGTTATAAATAGCAGAGAGTTGTATGAAAACAATTGATGCATGTCCTAAAGCATCTGCAATTTGTTGGAAGGAATGAGAAACTGCTACTAGGATGTGTGCAACCCCGCCGGTCCTACGCCACCCAACCCGCTCCAAGCTGGTATCGATACGGCGACCATCCGCATGGGAGTCAGGTGCTCTACCAAGGAGGCTAAAGACCATGGCCTCTAGCGTCTGTCGCTAGAGCACCTTTAGAGGTCAGAGGAGTGAGGTTTACCTGCACAGCACACACTAGCTGGCCTCCGTTACACTCACCCCCCTAAACCTCACTCCCATCTGGGTCACGGCACCAATGCAACCCTGCCGGTCCTACGCCACCCAACCCGCTCCGAGCTGGTATCGAACCGGCAACCTTCCGCATGGGAGTCAGGTGCTCTACCAAGGAGACCATGGCCTCTAGCGTCTGTCGCTAGAGCACCTTTAGAGCTCAAAGGAGTGAGGTTTACCTGCACAGCACACACTAGCTGGCCTCCGTTACATGTGCACAAATGACCAATTGTTTTGAGAAATGCATTAACTGTTGTGCAAATGTAAATAGTGTTGTGAGAAATGCATCAAAGCCACTGAGAAAAACTGTATTGTAAATAAACAGTTAAATGGTCAGTAATATATTTTATTATTATTATTATTTACAAAAGAAAACAATTGTATACATTGACAGCAAATATATTAGCAAACAGTTCAGCTCATTAAAATAGCTATTATAATGAATTGAATCAAGCTATCAAATCTCATTAGCCGTTTCTTCACTGTATAACTTAAACATTTTGATTAGCCTCAACCGTCATTGGGTGGTAAGCAAATCGTACTAAATTGTACAAATTAGATCATACGAATTTATACGAATTAGCAACTAAATCAAAAAGTTACGAATTCCCGTGAGATTGCGTATTTGGTGTCATGGCTTTGCAATCAAACAATGTCATTATAGTAGAAGTCAATGGGGCAAAAACAGTCACCAACATAACTAAAGGGTAGTCAATTTGAAGACTACACAAGGGTTAAGCGCTTTGCTGGTGGTTGCACAACGATACGATGCAGGAGTTGATAGTGGATATGGCTTTGCAGACTGGAGATGTGATTCTCCTCTTGGCTCTGTGTAATCTGGCTCCTGACAGCTACTCAGCGGGGAGTCTGAACACTTTACCAATGCCCCGGAGCGACGGATGAACGATGGTCATCGCCGGGTCATCTAGACACATCCGTGACTTTAGTATCTGGGCCTGGAGATGGACGGGTTGCTCATACTAATGCTTTTCACAAGACCACACTGCGGGACAACACACTCGCTAGCTTTATATGATGGTGTTTTGTGCTGGTTAAATCGGGTATTCTGGGGTTTATAAGGACTGTGGAGGGAAGCTGGTCAATTTTACAATGCCCGAGAGAGACAGAGAAGGCTTGTGGATACATTTGATTGTAGCACTTTTAATAGATCTGAGGACATCTAAGCTGTTTTTCTTGTAGCTAATCAGCCTTGGGTCAGGCTTTAGATTCTGCTCAGTATATCTGTGTTTGTTCTCTTGTTTTATCATTGTATGAATGCTGTCATCATGTTGGAGTTTTTACTCAGCTATGAATCTATCTTTCATTATATAGTTCTATTCATCCATTCATTGTTATTTTGTTCTATGCATCCATTTATCCATCCATCTATCGATATATTGTTCTTTTTATTTATCCATTTTTTCATTCATTCATTCATTCATTCATTCATTCATTCATTCATTCATTCACTCGTTCATTCGTTCGTTCTTTCGTTCGTTCATTCATTCATTAATTCATTCATTAATTCATTCACTCATTCATCCATACATGCATTCATTATATCGTTCCATCCATTCATTCCTTCTTATATTTTTATTTCCATCCATAAATTGTTGTTCTATTAATCCATTTATCCATTATGTTGTTCTGTCAATCCATCCATTCATCCATCCATCCTATCATTATGTTATTCTTTTGATCAATCCATTGGTGCATCGTATTTGTTTTATCCATCCATACACTCATCCATCCATCCATTGTTCTATAGTTATATCTAACTATCCATCCATCCTATTTGTTCTATCCTACATTTTTTCAGTCCATCCATTGTTATATTGTTCTTTCCATCCATCCATCCATCCATCCATCCATCCATCCATCCATCCATCCATTCATCCATCCCTCCATCCATCTGTTATATAGATAATTTCATCCTTCCATTATTAAATAGTTCTAACTATCGTTACATCATTCTATTCATTCATCTATCCATTCTTTATTTTATTGTTCTTTTCATCCATCCATCCATCCATCCATCCATCTAGTGTTACGCATTAAATAGTTCTGTCATTATATTGTTTTATCCATCCATCCATCCATCCATCCATCCATCCATCCATCCATCCATCCATCAAGTGTTATGCATTATATAGTTCTGTCAATTTCTCCTTCTATCCATCTCCATCCATCCATCCATCCATCCATCATCCATCCATCCACCCATCCATCAATCTCTCCAGTGTATGCATTATATGGTTCTATCTATCATTTTATAGTTCCATCCATCCATCCATCCATCCATCCAGTGTTATGCATTATATAGTTCTATCATTATCTCCTTCTATCTATGAATGCATCCATCCATCCATCCATTTATCCATCCATCCATCCATCCATCCATCCATCCATCCATCATCCATTCATCCATCCATCATCCATTCATCCATCCATCCATCCATTCATCCATCCATCCATCCATCCATCTATCCATCCATCTGTCCATAAATCCATCCATCCATCCATCAATCCATCCAACCATCCACCCATCAATCTCTCCAGTGTATGCATTATATGGTTCTATCTATCATTTTATAGTTCCATCCATCCATGCATCCATTTATCCATCCATCCATCCATCCATCCATCCATCCAGTGTTATGCATTACTTTGTTTTATATATCATTTTCTAGTTCCATCCATCCATCTATACATCCATCGAGTGTTATACATTTTGTTTTATCTATCATTTTATAGTTCCATCCATTCATCCATCCATCCATCCATCCATCTATCCATCCATCCATCCATCCATCCATCCATCCATCCATCCATCCATCCATCCATCCATCCATCCATCCAATGTTATGCATTATTTATTCTATATATCATTTTATAGTTTCATCCATCCATCCTATCATCCATCCATCCATCCATCCACCCATCCATCCATATGTCTGTCTGTCTGTCTGCCTGTCTGTCTGTTATTTTTATTCATAGTTCATTCATGCTATAAATTCTGTGGTAGTATTTTGGATGGGCTATAGGGAACAAAGGGATCTTCCCAGTAACTAAAATTTCCATTTTCATAGAAATACAGCTGATTACGACGAGTTTCTCTGGTGTCATTTTGGAAAGCTTACTTTACAGTTTAATCAAACTAGTTTAGAGGCTCAAATGAAGCAGTGATTATAGCCCAATTCTGAACGCTTCTTCATCTGATCTGTTGCAGGAAATCGCGGCCTACCTGATAACATTTGAGAAGCATGAAGAGTGGCTGACGACGTCCCCCAAAACCAGGTAAGAAGACACGCGGGCTGATGTTTCCTCATTCGGAGAGCACAAAGAGTTACCTGAAAGGCTGAGAGGGTACGCCTGGCAGTTCCTGCACATTTCGTGGGCATGTGCAGACAGATAATGGAATATTAATGACTATTTATAATGCAAGATGTGGCCAGGTCTATTAGCTTAATGCCGTCTTTGCTCACCAATGCCATTAACGTGGGTGGTAATGCGGTGAGATCGTAGAACATCGCCCTACGGTGATAAGGGCTCAGCACGAAATTTACAGTGTTACTTGATTTACAGCAGCAGCCGATAATGAAAAAGCTTTTTACTTTTAATGCCAGTTTCTATATCTATCCTGAGAGATAACAGCTGTGATATGATGATGAATGCAAATTAAGATAATAGGAGGTTATATATGAAAGCGCGCGTCAAGAGCGACAGAAAGGCAGGCCGATTAATTCTCAACTTTGACGTTATAAATGTTTTGAGTGCCGTGTGTTTCTATAGAAGGCCGTGCAATTAAATGTGACTTAAGGAACTCCAATGGTACCTAAAAAGAACCGTTTTGCATTGCTTATCTGCAGTGCTCCAGAAAGATACGTTTGGATTTATTCATAAACAGAAAACTGTGGAAAGGCCAAGGTCTTTATTTGTGAGGCAAATCGAGAGGAAGGCGAAGAAATCACCATGGGGTTTTGAGTTCAAGAACTGTTTACATGGACAGAGGTTACCTGGCCGGCATGTGGACCTGTCATTCATGAACATGTACATACACACACACACACACACACACACACACACACACACACACACGTATTTGTAAATATACCAATTTGAAGAGGCTTTATTGAGCACACAAGCGCTGGAGTGTTTCTGAAATGAGCCTTGTTTTCTTGTGTAACCGTATTTAGTGATTCAGCTCTGACATCAGAATACCAAATGACTCATATGATTTGTTTGTGTGTGTGTGTGTGTTTAAACTGGGGCACACAGACACGCACACACTGCCCCCAAAATATATTTTAGGAGTTAAGCTGCACATGAAAATGCATTGGGTGTCACTGCACTGAATTACAAAACACGATGGAGCGTCATTTATTTAAAAAGCTTGCTTTAGAAGCAGATCACAGATTTGTTGTTGTTGTTGTTGTTTTAGTTGTAACACTATTTGTAAACTCAATTTATTGTGTATATTAGCAGCATTACATTTACACAGTTGTGTTGTTTTTTGCTTTGTTTTGATTAAAATTTTTGCTGTTTTGTTTTATTTTATTTTTTGCTGTTGTTGTTGTTTTTGTTTTGTTTTATTGTTTTGTTTTGTTGTTTATTATTTATTTTTGTAGTTTTTTGTTGTTATTTATTTATTTATTTATTTTTAATATATTTATTTTGTTTTTTGTTTAGTTTTTTTGTTGTTATTCATTTAGTTTTTTGTTTTGTTGTTTTTTATTTATTGTTTTAGTTTTTGTTGGTTTTTTATTTTGTTTTGTCTTTTTGTTTTGTTGGTTTTTTATTATTTTTGTTGTTTTGTTTTGTTTTATTTTATTTATTATTATTTTTTTTTGTTTTTTTTGTTTATTTTTGTTATTTTTATTTATTTTTTTGTTGTTTTGTTTTGTTTTATTTTGTTTTGTTTATTTTATTTTTTGTTTTTGTTGTTTTGTTTAGTTTAGTTTTTGTTTTGTTTTGTTTTTGTTTACATCGACATAGTTTAATAAATTAGATGTGTTATACTCGAATACTACACTTATTTTTTATTTACTATAAAAAAAGAAAACATTGATGTTGGTAAGATTTGTTTTTAAATGTTTTTGAAAGCAGTCATAATGCTGCATATATTCAATAAAATCTGTCATTTTACTTTTTCCAGCAGCTGGGGTAGAAAAAGTACTTAATAAAAAGTAAATTACAGAAATTTACTTAAATTAAAATTTCCGGTAAATTTCTGTAATTCACTGTCTTTTATTTTACGATCAATTTCTGTAAGTTAGTGGCTGTTATTTTATGGGCTTTTCCGGCACCCTAGCTGCCAGACAAAAAAAAAAAAAGTAAAATAACGGATTTTTTTTACAGTGTACAGTAAACATAAGCTCAATATTAGTATTTGTTAGAATATTAGTACCATTAGTTTAGTATTGTATACAGTTTTGTGTTGTATTATACAGCATTTTACATGCATTTTATTTCTTTGATGCAAAACTGAATTTTGTGTCTTAATGTCACATGACCCTTTGTAAATTATTCTAGTATTAGTATTAATAATATTTATTATTATCATAAATAATTGATAAAATGCATAATAATAAATAATAATAATAATAATAATAATAATAATAATAATAATAATAATAATAATAATAATAATAATAATAATAATAATCACGCAGTTGCTACAGGTTTGTCTGCAGCACATCCATGACTGTGGCCATTTGAGTACAGTGAACTCATTGTCATGTTTAAGAAACCAGTCTGAGATGATTTGTGTTTTATATATTTGCGCTGACAGAATTTGCACCCTGTGTGGTCTTCTGCTGCTGTAGCCCATCCGCCTCAAGGTTGGATGTGTTGTGTTTTTAGAGATGCTCTTCTGCAGACCTCGATGTAGTGAGCGGTTATTTGAGTTACTGTTTTTATCAGCTGAAACCAGTCTGGCCATTTTCCTCTAACCTCTGGCATCAACAAGGCATTTACATCCACAGAACTGTCGCTCACTGGATATTTTCTCTGTAAACCCTAGAGATGGCTGTTCGTGAAAATCCCAGTAAATCAACAGCTTCTAAAATTCTTAGACGGGCACTAGCAACCATACCACGTTCAAAGTCACTTGAATCACCTTTCTTCCCCATTCTGATGCTCGATTTGATCGTCTTGACCATGTCTACATGTCTAAATGCATTGAGTTCCTGCCATGTGATTGGCTGATTAGAAATTTGCGTTAACAAGCAGTTGGACAGGTGTACCTAATAAAGTGGCGGTGAGTGTATTTGAATGCATGTTTAATAATGCCACTGCTGTGTACATTTTTGACCCCAAAATTTAAGCAGTAATGTTTCTTTAAAAAAAAGTTTGATTTGCTTTCAGAGATAATCTGCGTGTTTCCATTATATGGGTCACATGAGAAAAGTGCATCCAAATAAGAGCTTAACGATGAAGCGTTAATGATATGATCACAGTGTGTGACAGCACCAGGACTCACAGCAGCAGGGAAGAGACTGCCGGGCAACTGTCCTCCACACACTCACACACACACACACACACACACACACACACACACACACACACACATAAACACAAGCATTCATGCCGAGTCTCTCACACAAAGACGAACATGTAAACACAAGCACAAGTCTTTTACACGCACACATACATGCACACAGATGCACGCACACACACAAACACACACACACAGCCTCTCGCTGCCTCCGGCCTGCCTTTACATAATGGCACTGATTTCAGTCTGCAATTTGCCATGGCTGTTTAGTGCAGCGAGTGCTTTCCTTGCTCTTAATGAAGCCTGTGTGACTCCAGGCTGTCTTCAGGGGTCACAACCAGTGTGAGTTCACACTGCAAGCCTCAACAGAAGCGCCCGAACGCTAACTCACACACATATTCATCTCCTAATATAATTAAAGCCATGAAAGCAGTGTGATGATTGTGTCGCCGTATTAATTTGAAGTTAAAAGAGCGCTCGCATCTCAGCGGTGACTCTTTATGAAACGCAGGGTTGGCTAATCCACTCTGTAATATCTCATATCAGGATATACAGTTGTTTTAAAGTGCTTATACACTGTAAACAAATGCAGGGTTCTGATTGAGTTAACTTACCAAATTTAAGTGAATTGAACTTAAAATAATTAAGTTGTCCCCCAAAATCTTAAGAATTAAACACATTTTTTTGAGTCTAGGACTTTTAAAGGGCATATACAGTTGAAAGCAGAAGTTTACATACACTGTATAAAAATGCACATAACCATATAAAGAAAGTCAGATGTTACAGTTTTTCTTGTTTGCTATGACCTGGTTAAATAAACTAGGTTCTACTTCATTTTCATTTTCACTATCCCAGCAGAGCAGAAGACCGGTCTTGCAAATGTGTAAACCCTTTCTCATTGGGTTGACACATTTTCCTCACCATTTTTCAAAACAGTTAACACAGATGTCATTCAAGCAGTCCAAACTCCATTGTTTTAGCTATGGTAACCAAACAGAAACCATCTATTCCTAACCATTAGACACTACCAATATCAGTTTGAATTCACTGAAGCAGCAGTTTGACACTCCTTCACACAAATCTTCAATTAGCAATCAGTCTGCAAACCTTATATAAACGATGGAAGGTCTGTGTAGTTTTGTGCCAGCATGGAAGGAGGAGGTCAATAGTGGCTATGTGCTATACTCCCAATAGATTTGACTGTAAATTGGTTTAAATGTGTTTTCTTTAATATTTACAGTATTTTATTCCTTTTGTCTGTTTTTACAGTATTTCAGTTTTTAGCCACCGTTTGAAAATTGTCATGAATTCAATATAAATTTAATCAAAGCATTTCTTATTCTGGATCCAATTCTTTGCAAAAAAGCAAATTTTACAGCCCAAATAGAAAGACAACAAATGGCATTGGCTATAGGCTACAATGACAAGCAATGGTGCTGCACTGACTCCTGCATTTTGTATTTTGTTGTCCATTGTGCAGTGATTAATTGAAAGAGCTCATATATCTGTTTGCAAGTTGTGTTGTTTGAAGGTAAAACTAGCTTTTGTTGCATATGTTAAATGTTTTGACACGATATGTGCCTTTTGCAAGCAAAATGTGTCATTTTGACCATGAGTGCTGGTGTTTAGGCCTGTGTGTTAACTGTTTTGAAAAGGTGGAGTTTCAGTTGACAACTGCATCCAAGCAATCGAGAAAAACTGTAATGTGACTAAACTTTCTCTTTAAGGTTAGTTAGGATTATCAAATGTGTTTCTGTTATGCTTACAGTTTTTCTTGTTTGCTTTGATGCAGCCGTCAACT